TGCTCATGCATTTTCTTTCTTTTTTTTAAGAGTTTAAGAGGCAGAGAGAGAGAGGTCTTCCATCTTCTGGTTCACTCCCTGAATGGCCACAATAGTCAGAGCTGGACCGATCCAAAGCCAGGAGCTTCTTCCAGGTCCCCCAAGCAGGTGCCGGGGCCCAAGCACTTGGGCCATCTTCTACTGCTCTCGCAGGCTACTTGCAGGGAGCTGGATCAGAAGTGGAGCAGCCGGGACTCAAACCAGAGCCCATATGGGGTGCTGGCACCACAGGCAGATGCTTAGCCTACTATGCCATGGTGCCAGCCCCTTCCATCACATTTTCGAAGGGGTCCACTCTGTCTGGACAGCTGCCTTAGCGGATCTACCTTAACTGATGCACACAGCACACGGGGGAGGCTGGCTGTTCCGGCCAGGATGAATGGAGGTAGCCGTGTGCAGACAGACCTGGCCACGGTCCAAACCACTATGCCGTTGGGGCGCAGCTGCTCAGGCACGTGTCTGCAGAGGCGTCCCCGATCGGGGAGGAAGACGGTGTTGGGAGCTGAATGGGGGGCTTCTCGGATGCCACGGGACGCCTGGATCTCCAAGAGTAGTGGCTCCTAAGAGGCAAGGAGTTTTCCGCGGATGGGGACTCCCTTAGCTGTTGATGGAGACGCACAAAGGCAGAGGATCCCTAGCCAAATGCGTGAGCTGTGAAAAGGTAAAGTGCGGAGCGGAGGAGGTGAATGGTAGAGGCTAAGCGGGGCCGCGGAAAGCACCAGCACCTCACACCCACCCAACCTACAGGTGGGAAAACTGACACCCAGATAGGCCCGTGGCTCTGCCAACATCCACGGCTAGGAGCGGAGGGGTCAGGCCAGTCCACAGGACACAGAAGCCTGGACGCCTCCTTCAGCCCTCACGCTGCAGCCCCGCCCGGGGAGGAAACCACACAAGCTCATTTGCCTAGGTCAACAACTGCATGGCACGCTCGGGAGGACACGAAAATGAAAAGCACACCCTCCCTCCTGGCCCCACCCCAGCGCCCCCCACCCCCACCTCCTGAGTCCTGGCGGCTCCCACCGCGGGTGTGCCTGGGGGTTTCCTGGCCACAGCGTGGCCACAGCTGTGCTCTACCTGGGCAGACCCTGCACAGAGGCCATGGAAAGCACAGCAGGGACAGAGGAGCGGGTGTTCAGGCTCTGGAGGAGGGAAGGGGTTGAAGAGGGCTCCAGAGGATGGGGCTTGAGCTGGGAAGGGCAATCTGGGAAGAAGGAACAGCACATGCAAAGGCACAGAGGAAGCAGGAGGGGTGGATCTGGCTGCCCATGTGAATGGGGGATGGGGCGTCACTGCGTTTGTCATCTCACATCACCATGGCAGCGGGACAGAGACAGAGGCGGAGCCTGGGGACAGGAGTCTTCCAGGGATGCCCCGTAGCCCATAGTCTAGCAACCCAGTTGGCAGACTCCAGGAGGACCTGCTGTGCCCCCAGAAGTCACCACTTCTCCGCCCTCGCTGGCCCCAGCCTCCTCCTGGGTATACCTCGCTGTGGCTGTCTCACTTATCTAGAAGCCAGATTCCCTTAACTATCCAGAATCCAGAAATACACAGACATATAACACACTTCACGCCCAGAGCCGTGCCCTGCAGGGCAAGCACTCGACCTGAGCAGGCTGTTGCTTAGATTTGGTCATCTCAGATCAAGAGCAGACACTGGGTGGGGGGTGGGGGGGCAGGTGGCATAGCAGGTAAAGCTGCTACCTGCAGTGTGAATATCCCATATGGGTCCTGGCTGCTCCACTTCTGATCCAGCTCTCTGCTATGGCCTGGGAGAGCAGCAGAAGATGGCCCAAGTCTTTGGGTCTCTGTGCCCACATGGGAGACCTAGAAAAAGCTCCTGACTTCAGATCAGCTCAGCTCCAGCCCTTGTGGCCATTTGGGGAGTGAACCAGTGGATGGAAGACCTCCTTCTCTGCCTCTGCCTCTCTGTAGTTCTGCCTTTCAAATAAATTAATAAATCTTTAAAAAAAAAAAAAAAGAGAGAGAGAGAGAGCAGACTTTTTTTAAGTGGGGTTAACCCAATTCCAGCACTTTCCAACCGTGTGGCCCCAACCCTCAGCTTCCTTGCACTGAAAATGCAGGCAGATGCAGCTGTGAAAATTAAACACGAAGTTCTCAGCCCAGTACCCAACACCGTGCAATCACAGCCAAGGGGAGAAAAAGGCCAAAAACAAAGATGAGAGAGAACGCCAAAAATCTCCTCGGAGTAGAGCCAAGGTGCATAAGACAAAGGCGCACCAGAATCACCAACATGTCAGGAGACAGCCCAGTCACACCCCGGGTGCAGGATGCATGATGGCCAGCAGCCCGATTCGCAGAGAGCTCCTCTAAAACCAGATCTGACAGAAAGTTCTGGCACTTGGCAGCGAGACCTGGGCAAAATGCTGTGTGCACAGGATGAGAATGGAAGCAGTCTGTGTGTACCCCCAGAGCACACCCCCAACTCTGAAAGAAATGCAGGGTGTGGAATGGAATCTAAGAGGCCACCAACAACGAGACGGGTGCCCCCAAGAGCTGGCGCTGTGTCGTAGTAGGCTAAGCCTCCACCTGCAGCATCGGTTTGCATCCCAGCTGCTCCACTTCCGATCCAGCTTTCTGCTGTGGCCTGAGAAAGCAGCAAAGATGGCCCGAGTGCTTGGGCTTGGGCCCCTGCACCCACGTGGGAGACCCAGAAGAAGCTCCTGGCTCCTGGCTTCTGATCAGCCCAGCTCCGGCTGTTGTGGCCATCTGGGGAGAGAACCAGCAATTGGAAGAGCTTTCTGCCTCTCCCTCTCTCTAATGCTGCCTCTCAAATAAATAAAAAAGAAAAGAAAAGGTAGAAAGAAAGAAAGGCACCCAAAGACTATTGCCAATTACAAACCATCAGATGTCAGGGTAAGACACACTTTGGGTGTCAGTGCTCTTAAAACCTGAGAACACATCCATCCCCAAACCAACGAAACAGCCTTGTACATCCTCTTCCCTTTGGGACACAGCGAGCTGGGTTCCTCCTTCTGCCTCCCCGCACCTCCCCTCTAGTCCAGAAGCTCCAACTAAACACCCCCACCGCCACCCCCACACCTGCTGGTGATCACTCTTCCCCGCCCTCCCCGGTAAACTGATTTCAGCTTTCAGCCCCATCAGCTGAGACCAAAAAGGGCTGTGGTTCACAGGGGTCCCAGAGGGCTCAGCCCCCTGGGATGAGGCTCTTTCAACAGAGGCCAAGTGGGTTCAGCTCCAGCGCTCGGCTGCACCCATGCTGGGGCTGCCAAACTCCACGCTATCCTAGGGGAAAGACTTGGGCACTTCTCTGGCCACAGCAGGAACTTGGGTCCAAGGCTACCCTGGGATGGAGGAGCAGCCTCCACTCCAAACGCACTCATCACCCAGAACCTTCGGTTAGCGCCCACTGGATTACTCTTGAAAGAAACAAAAGGTGCTGTGTGGGAGGGAGGAAGAGGAGGCAGAGGCAGAGGCACTCCTGCTTCCCCTGCAGCATGGGGGTGGGGGGAGACCACAAGCATCCCCCATCCGAGCTGGAGACAAGAGGATGGGGGTTCTTAAAACCGCAGCACACAGCACCCTCAAGCCTTCCTGTAGCCCAAAGCAGGAAGACGAATGGATCCCCCCCCCCCCCGCAAAAAAGCTGTCTTCTTTGTCTCCCATAGGCCCCTCACTGGAGACACACACCACGCTCGGGAAGCAAGGGAGCCCTGGATGCCCACTCTCTTGTTCTACAACTATTCACACACCTGCCCTCATCACCCTCATCCATTGACCTTGCCATGCAAGGTCAGAGCCCATCTCACAGCTCAGGAGACTGGGGCTGGGAGAGGGGCAGTAAGAGACTGACAGTCACACAGCCCTGCCTGGCTGGGACTCACGTCCCTCCTCCCCACCACGCAGGGTTCCCAAGTGCTGGCTCTGGCGTCATCACCTAAGGAGCCTAGGAAAACTTCTCCCAACTACCATTCCAGACTGCTGCCGGGCTGGAGCCTAGGGAATGTGGGTTTTCACAAACACAGCAAGTGTTGGCAGCTGTGGGAGCCCCGGCTGCCCCAGGTGGTCTCCACAGAGGAGGAGGGACAGCATGCAGCAGACCTCCACGTTTTCAAAAACCCGAATTATAAGGTAGGTTTGTTTGGATGCAAAAATGTTTTGAAATCCATGCTTATAGTTTTTTTCCCTAAGACACATTTCCCGAGACCTCTTCAAAGACCCCTTCTGGGAGGGAGGGGTCAGTAATCGGAAGGGACCTCCCAGGCTGACTTGGCCTATTTTCAAGTCCTCCTGTGCCTACCCACTACCACCACCACCACCTCCTTCTCCTCCTCCTCCTCTTCCTCCTCCCCCGCAGGAGTCTGCTTACTTCACACCACATCCTGCAGCTTTCATGTCGCCTGCCTTCTCCTACGACCCCCACTTCTCACGAGCATACCCCCAGGCCTGGGATGGCTCCGGGCGCGCACGCACACACGTGCCAACACCCGTGCCGTCTTGTGAGGACTCCCAGAGTGCAGACCCACACCCTCAGACGGACAGAGCCTACCTGCCGCACCCACCGTGCACGCCCGGCTCGCTAGCAAGGGGTAGTAGGCTCCATGCCCCCCCACCCCAAGCCTTCCAGGTCCTGGTGGCCAAGGACCTCTGACTCCGGTGCGCCCCGGAGAGGGTGCTAAGCCCAAGCTGGGGTTGGGGGTGGGCTGGCTCCTGGACCCCACGACGCAGGCAGAAGGCTGCAGGAGCGCCCGGCCGCGCAGAGGCGTCCGGGAGTGGCCGCCTGGACGGCAATGGACGGTCTCCGGGATGCCCCTTCCGGGTCCCGGCTGACCGAGAGGGCTAGTGCTGGCCCTCTCCACCGAGCCCGAAGGCAGCAGCACCTGTGCAGGCCACCTGCTGCCGCGGCTTCTCCCCGACGGCCCGGAGCCTGCTCCCGCTCTGCCACCGCCGCCCAGCCCAGCCGCCCGACCCCCACACACCTGCAGTCCCCACCGGGCGCCGAGCCCCTCTCCAGCGACGACTCCCTGCGCTTCGGGTCGGGACCACCGCGCCCGGCTGGAGCGGCGCGGCCAGTCCCAGCATCAGTCCCGTCAGCCGCTCGGGGGTGGGGCGAGGCGCTATGGGCGGGTCCTTGAGGAGGCGTGGCTTGCCGCTCTCCGGCCTCTGCCGCCACCTGGTGGAGGGGCCGTGTCAGTCAGGTGCCCGACTGGCCCGGGTGTGCCAGGAATCCCGCCCCGGAGCCCGCAGAGCATCTGGAAGCCCTGTCGGACCAAGGCAGGTGCAGGGCTATGGCCGGTGGACGTCAGTGCCGGGCACCAGCGATGCCTAGATAACAGTTCGCGAGCCTGGCGGGGGCGGGAGGTGAGGGCGGAAACGCGGCTTTGGCCCCCCGCAGGAGGAGTGGGCGGAGCCGGGGGAGGCTTGGGGTGGGGGCTTCGGGGAAGGAGGAGAAAGGGGAAGCTCCGACGAGCTGCTTCCTCCTCTCGCTGCGACTCGGAGCCCCACTTCCTCCTCCTACTTCTATTTTCTTTGGGTTCTCTTAACCCTTAAAATGCCTGCACCCCTGCTGGGCAGAGCAGACCTTGAACCTCACCCTGATGCAGGAACCTTCCTGGGAGTGCCGCTCCTGCAGCCTCCGGTCCGACCTGGCGCCAGACTCGCTGTCACCCTGCTGGGTCCCTCCTTCCCTGGGAAGCAGGTGGGGTCCCCGCCTCCAAGGCCGAGGCCCTATTCTTGCCTCCCCTCCCAGCCTCCCTAGCCGACACTTAGAAATGGAGGGACGCCTCAGCGAATCCCAGAAGCGAATGCCTGGCCTTGTACCTCAGTTTCCCCACTTGCAAAACAGGGGTCCGAAGGGTGATTGCAGCACAGGCAGGCCTTGTGCTGAAAGACTGGGAGCTTCGTTTTAGGGCTACCGAGGGGGCAGAGCTGAGAGCCCCACCTTTACAGTCCCACTGTCACCTGAGCAGAGTGACCTGGGAGACACCCCTGAGGTCACAGCACTTGGTACGGGGGGCGAGAAGTAGAGGCAGCTTCCCAGGGAGGGGAGGAGGAAGGGCTGGAGCTGTTGGGGGTCGAGGACAGAGAGGCAGGAACGATGCGGGGTGGCCCAGCGCCCGGTGCTACAGACGCTGCTGGAGCGAAGTGGCCGAGCATCCCAGGAGCCAGCTTGGTCCGCTCAGAGATGGGCATTCCCTTCTCCACCAGCAGTGTCAGATTGAGCTGGCATGTTTGTTGTGTTCCGTCCATTTGAGAGGCAGACACCAAACATGATCTACCATCCACTACTTCGCTCCCCACCCCCACCCCCAAATGCCTGCAACAGCCAGAACTGGACCAGGCTGACGCCAGGAGCTGGGAACTCCAGCCGAGTGTCCCACGTGGGTGGCAGGAAACCAATGACTTGAGGCGTCTCCTGCTGCCTCCTTGGGTCTGAATTAGCAGGGAGCTGGAGTCAGGAGCTGGAGTGGGGTATCAAACCCAGGTACTCCAATATGGGTTGGGGGGAGGGGAATCCTAACTGGCATCTTAAGTAGCCAGATGTCTGCATTGAGTTTGCATGTGATTCTGCCCTCCAGCACAGCTCCACCTGTGCCTCCCTGACCCTAATTGGCGGAGCTGATGGGTACCAGCCTGCCAGCAACAGTGATCGCACTCATGCTCCTGAGAGCGGCACCAAAGACTCAAAGCACCTGTCATTCATCAGGCACCTGTTCCACAGCGAGCCCTGCAGCTCTGCTGCTGTGTTAGGATTTCTGTCTGCCTTTCTCTCTCTGTGTCATCATTCTCCTTTCCCCTCCTAATGTTTTCAGAGAGGAGTCTGCCCAAGCACCACTTCCTCCTCGTGCGTTTGTTCCTCAACGCTCTGAAATAAGGTCACCAGGAAAACCCCAGACGTCAACCCGAGTGTTCTGTTTTCTTACCTCCCCATTGACTCACCTTTCCCTGAATATGCCCCCCTTGCCTGCTGAGCCGGTGTCCCTTTTGGCCAAGATTTTGTTGTCTTTTTCTGGTTTTCTTTTCTGCTTCTCTTCTCCTTGGGCCATCTCCGCTGTTCCCACCCTGCTGATCCCTCCCAAGTCTGTAACTCTGGACTTCTCTTTCTAGCTCCAGACCTATAACGCCAAGTGCTTTCTGCACATCTGCCCCTGGGTCATCAATGCACAGGCACTGTAATCTCTCCAGGTCCCCAAATGAATTCCTCACCTTGCCCTTAAATCAGGTCTCTTGCCTTCCCTATCTCAGTGGGCAGCTGTACTGTCCACCCAGTTTCACACTAGGAAATGCGCTATACATGTCCACAATAAAGAACTCCTACAGGTTAAAATAATTTTAAAACAGGCAAGGGGGCCGGCGCCATGGCTCACTTGGTTAATCCTCCACCTGTGGCGCTGGCATCCCATATGAGTGCTGGGTTCTAGTCCCGATTGCTCCTCTTCCAGTCTGGCTCTCTGCTGTGGCCCGGGAGGGCAGTGGAGGATAGCCCAGGTGCTTGGGTCCCTGTACCTGTGTGGGAGACCAGGGGGAAGAACCTGGCTCCTGGCTTTGGATAGGTGTAGCACCGGCCATAGTGGCCATTTGGGGAGTGAACCAATGGAAGGAAGACCTCTCTGTCTTGCTCTCTCACTGTCTGTAACTCTACCTGTCAAATAAATAAAACAAGCAAAAGCCATGAGCTCCACAAAAGAAGATATCCAAAAGGCCAATGAGCCATACAAAAGGATGCTCAACATCCTTCGGTCATCGACAAAGAGCAAACTGAAGCCACGACCTATCCCAGACCCTGGCAGGTGCACGGCTGTGGCCGGAGGACAGCCGCTCTCCAAGAATAAAGTGAGGTTCGGCCAGCAGGGCTGAAGCATATGTTTGCCCAAAGGAGTGGGTGGAACAGTGGGTGCGTGAACCAATGGAACAGACTCTCAAACAAAAATGCAAATACAACTTTGTTTACAGAAGAAATTACAAGCTGAGATGAAGCAGCATTTCTGGCTTGCAAAGCGTAAAGCTCCATGGAGACAGTGAGCAAAGGAGTGGGAGCCGAGGGAAGCTGAGCGTGTGAATTAGGGCACAACTGGGGAACGTGCGCTAGGATTCAGAGGAGAAAGGGGGAAGATGGAAAAAGCATGGAGACCCAGGACAGGGACTGAGACAAAGCCTGTGGCAGACCACCTTGTCTTCTGAACACAGATTTCCAACCACAACTACAAATCTAAACTTTCCTAGGGAGACGTCAGGGACCCAAAAATGACTTAAGAAAAGACACATTTGAACAAGCCCGTAATGACTTCCATCACATTTTCGGAGGACAGAATTGCACGATGCTTTAAAAACTGGCAGCAGTGAAGAGTAGACTGTGTTGGGCTTTGTGTAGGAAAGAGGGAATGGAAGGAAAATACACATGCATCCATTCATTTGGGCAAGAAGAAACACAGGAGGAATAAAGAAGAAATTGAGGAGGAGGTGAGTGTTTGGTCAAGTAGTTGAAATGTCCACATCTCAACCACAGTGCGTGGATTTGATGCCTGGTCCTGGTGCCTGACTCCAGCTTCCCATGCTGCAAACCCTGGGAGGCAGCAGCCATGACTCAAGGATTGGGTCCCTGCCACCCACGTGGGAGACCTGGATTGCATTCCTGGCTCCTGGCTTCAGCAAGCCCCAGCTATGCAGGTATCTGGGGAGGGAACCAGTGGATAGGAGTTCTCTCTTTGTATCTCTCTCTATGTCTTTTTCTCTGTAGCTTTCTATCTCTCTGTAGCTCTCTATCTCTAGATCTCAACTTTAAAAAAACTAGTAAGATTGGTCCCCTACAGTAGGTAAACAGAGATCGAAAGAATGGAGGCACCGGAGCAGAGACAGAAGGAAAGGGAGAAATTATAATTCTCTGGGTGTGCTTATTTTCTATAATTCTGATCCTGGGACCTGGGATCGTGTTTCACGTATCACTAGCGGGCTCCAACCCCCCACATAAGTCATTAAAATCCATCAGGATATGGTGGAAACCCAAACTGGAAGACAAACATCACAAATGAACCCAACTCTGTTGCAAATGAGTGATATAACAGCACTGAGAAGGGTGGTGACAGAACAAACTCATGTCTCTTAGGAAAACCTTATTTTGTTTCTTTTCCTCTTTTTTTTTTTTTTTTATTTCTTTGGGTTTTGTTTTTTGAAAGGCAGAGAAACAGAGATCTTCCACCTGCTGGTTCCCTCCCCAAATGCCCACAACAGCCAGGGTTGGGCCAGGTTAAAGCCAGGAGCCAGGAACTCTATCTAGATCTCCCATGTGGGTGGCAGGGGGCCCAAGCACTCGAATCATCATCTACTACTGCCCAGGGTATGGAGTAGCAGGAGGCTGGCCCAGAAGCAGAGGCGAGACTGGAACCCAGGCACTCTGACATGGGGTACGGGCATCCTCAGTGGTGGATTAACCTGCTCATCCTGAGCTGGTGGCAGAGCGCCCACCCCCCCCGAAAACCCTATTTTGACTTCCTACTGCAGATCTAAAGATGAAAGGGAACGTGTGGTGTTGGTGTTGGTGTTGGTGTTGCTGCTGGAGCGACTGCTCTACTTTGGCAATTTTGTTTCTGACAGGGCTATAATGTAGCAATTTTTTTTTTTTGACAGGCAGAGTGGACAGTGAGAGAGAGAGACAGAGAGAAAGGTCTTCCTTTGTCGTTGAGCAAATAAGTGAATACATTGTAACAAAGGCCAGATTTCTCAGCATTGGCAGAAGCAGTTACAAATAAGGAAAAGTGGAGGGCTAGGATTAATCTTATTGTAGTCGACTGAACTAGAGGGGTCGGTATGCACTTGTGATTTTTTTGTAATTTTTATTTTTAATTCATTTGCTTGAGAGAAGAGAGACAAGATACAGAGAGCTCTCATCTGCTAGTTGATTTCCCAAATGCCTGCAACAGCCTCTTGGGGCCCAAACCCAGAGCTGAGAGCTCCACCCAGGTTTCCCAAGTGCGCGGGAAGGAGTCAGCTACCTGAGCCGTCAGCAGTGCCTCCCAGGGTCTGCGCTGGCAGGAGCTGGAATTAGCAGACAGAGCTGGTACTGTGGTGTGGGACACAGGCAGCCTATGGTATCTCCAGATGCCTAGATAGCAGTGTGTGTGTACTTCCTACACTAATAGCCCACTAGCTTAGCTCCCAGATCGTGGTTTCTAATTATTCGCCAGTAAAAGGAGCCAGGGCACCTTAGAGAACTGGCTGAGTGGAGGGGTTGGGTCAGGGGGAGAACAAATGTATCCAGAGCATCTTGTGGTGCAGGAAGGGATAGAAGGGCTCAGAAAATGACCAGTGGGTGGGTGTTGTGGTGCAGTGGGTTAGGCCACCACTTGGGGCCCTGCATCCCATATTAGACTGCTTGGTTCAAGTCCCAGCCCCTCTGCTTCCGATCCAGCTCCCTGGCTAAGTTCCTGGAAGGCAGCACACGGTGGCCCAAAGTATTTGGGTCCCTGCCACCCACATGGGAGATGCTGGATCCTGGCTTCAGCCTGGCCCAGGCCCAGCTGTTGTAGCCATTTGGGCAGCAAACCAGAGGGTGGAAGATATTCTCTCTCTCTCTCTCTCTCTCTCTCTCTCTCTCTCTCTCTCACACACACACACACACACACACAGAATATTTAAAATAAGCAAATAATTTCTTTTTAATGGCTGAGGCTTGAGGCTGGTGGTGTAGTGCAGTGGGTTAGGCCACTGCTTGTGATGCCAGCATCCCATATCAGTCCTGGTTCAGGTCCCAGCTGTTCTGTTTCTGATCCAGCTGCCTGGCTAGTGTGCCTGGGAAGGTGGCAGATGATGGCCTCTGGGATGGAGTTCCAGGCTCCTGGCTTTGGCCTAGACCAGTCCCAGCTGTTAACTATTTGGAGAGTGAATCAGGGGATGGATGATCTCTCCTTCTCTCCTCTCCCTCTCTCTTCCTCCCTCCTGCTCTCTACCTTTGTTTTTCTTTTTTTTAAAAGATTTATTTTATTTATTTGACAGGCAGAGATAGATAGATAGAGAGTGGTCTTCCTTCCGCTGGTTCACTCCCCAGATGACCACAATGGCCAGAGCTGTGTTGATCCGAAGCCAGGAGTCAGGAGCCAGGAGCTTCTTCCAGGTCTCCCACGTAGGGGCAGGGTCCCAAGGACTTGGGCCATCTTCTACTGTTTTCCCAGGCCATAACAGAAAGCTGGATAGGAAGAGGAGCAGCTGGGATTAGAACTGGGGCCCATATGGGATGCCAGTGTTTCAGGCCAGGGCATGAACCCACTGCACCACAGCGCTAGCCCCATGCTCTCTGCCTTTCAAATAAATAAATACATATTTTTTAAAATGATTGAGCCCTGTCAGAAGACACAGAAACCAACTCAAAGGTGCCTCCAATCCAGAACACACTGAATAACACAGTAGTTAATCATAATGGCAAATTATAGCTTATAGAATAAATATCCAGAGCCGGCGCTGTGGTGAAGTGGCTAAGCCTCTGCCTGCAGTGCCAGTATCCCATATGGGCACCAGTTTGTGCCCTGGCTCCTGGCTTCAGATGGGCCCAGCTCTGGCCATTGCAGCCATCTGGGGAGTGAACCAATGAGTGGAAGATGTTTCTCTCTCTCTCTCCCTCTCCCTCTCCCTCTCCCTTTCCCTCTCCCTCTCCCTCCTTCTCCTTCTCTCTGTAACTCTGCCTCTCAAATAGATAAAAAAAAAACTTAAAAAAAAATGAGTCCCTACAGACATAATAATTGAGTAAATAAACACATGGAGAAACAGAGATCACCTTCCTTACAGTAGGATTCCAGTGAATACATGTGGAAGGAATGATGGAAATGACGACTTGGTTCACATCATGCTAATCATTTTTGCCAGCAAGAACTTCAGCGATGCCAAATGCCCTGGCCCAATTAGCGATGACACACGGGGCTGTGGGCTCAGTGCCTGCCACGTTGAAACCTAGTCCACATGGTGGCTGCATTAGAAGGTGGGGTGTTGGGGGGCCATCTGGTCATGCGTGGGATCAGTTTCCTTGTTAAAGAGCTTCTGTGGTTAACCTCTCACCATAGGAGGACCCAGGAGGGCACCACCTTGGAGACACAGGCCCCCACCATGCACCAGACCCACCAGCACCTTCACCTTGGTTATCTTATCCCAGCTGCCAACACCAAGAGAAGGTGGAGTTTCTGGTGTGTAAACCACCAGCGTGTGGTATGTTTGTTTCAGCATCCCTAATAGATTAAGTCCAATGGGATATTCACTTGGTCTCCCAGTAGCTCCTCCCCAGGGTCTTTCTGGTGACAAAGGGAAAATAGAAGCTGCAGATAGAAATCAGGCACTTGCTTCATCGCATGAACAGTCACCATCATCTCAGCCTGGTGTAGTCGCACCATTCAGCCCGTGCGTGCACGCACTGGGCAGGGCACACCATGTCTGTGGTGTCTCTGCCAAGCAGATCCAGCCTCAGCCTCCCTCCGGGGACCACCGCAGGCCAAGCCAGAGGGGCTGCATTCTCCAGAATCATCAGGGAAACACAGGCACATGCTGGTGTGCGACGCTTCCGTGTGATGAGCCAATGCAATTGGCTCCTGGACCAGAAACAGGATGTTCGTGAAGCCATTGGCAAGACTTGAATGAAATCTACAGATGAGTTAAGAGTAGTATATCGGTAGGAATCCCCTGATTTCAATAATGTATAATAATTTATGTGTGTAATAATGTAAAATAATAATGTATGATGCTAGAATTAAAGGGTGAGGCTAAAAGGTTCACGGGATATGACGTTTGCAACTTTTTGGTGTAACTCCAAAAAGATTTCAGAATATATTTCAGTGTACAAACACAAAAAGACAAAATTCAAGGTTGTAAATCTTAACTTTCAAAAACCTCCTCATTTGATTTTTATTTATTAACTTATCCAAAAAGCAGAATGATAGAAACTGAGAGACAAAGAGCAAGCAACAGAGATCTTTCAGCTGCTGATTCACTCTCTCAATACCTGCAACAGCCAAGGCTGGGCCAGGTGGACAGCAGGAGCCGGGAACTCTGAGTCTCCCAGGTGGGTGGCAGGCACCAAGTCCACGGCCTCCCCAGGCACATCAGCAGGAAGCTGGATCAGAAGTGGAGCAGCCAGGATGCAAACCAGCGCTCAGAGGTGGGTTGTTGCCATTGCAAAGCACCACAACGCCTGCCCCTTCCCATTTCATTTTAACCCAATCCTCAAAATTCAAAGGAAGGCTATGGGGGAATTCTTCTCTATGAAGCAGATATAAAATCAGAAACAAAGTAAGTGCAAATGTGTCCAGCCTTTAATTGAAATAGTCATGTGCCGGAGCTGGGCCAATCCAAAGCCAGGAGCTTCTTCCAGGTCTCCATGTGGGTGCAGGGGCCCAAGCACATGGACTATCTTCTGTTTTCCCAGGCCATTAGCAGGGAGCTGAATCGGAAGTGGAACAGCCAGGACATGAACCACGCCCACATGTGATGCCGTACCAGCTACATCACAGCACCAGTCCCTGGCTGCTCTGTTTCAGCTCCCTGCTAATGTGCCTGGGAAGGCAGCAGAAGATGGCCCAAGTACTTGGGCCCCTGCCCACCCATATGGGAGACCCAGATGGAGTTCCTGGCTCTTGGTTTCAACCTGGCCCAGCACTGGCTGCTGTTGCCATCTGGGGAGTAAACCAATAAACGGAAGCTCGCTCTCTCTATCTCTATGTCTGCCTTTCAAATAAATATAACACATTTTAAGAAAAGAAAAAGAAACTCAAGCATCCCACGGGCCAGGTAGGTCAGGCTCAAGGTCAGGATTGGAGCAGTGGCATGCCCTTGCTCCACTAGCCTCCTTCTAACAGTGTTGTGTAGATTCTGTGCCTCCTGAAATAAACCCTACTGAATCTCAGACTTCTGTCCTCCCAGATTGACGAGGTCTTCTTTCCCTTCCCAGCTTTTTCCGTATTCTCCAGGGATTTCTTCTCTGGTGGCATTCTCCGTCTGATTCTTTCAACAGACACACGTTGCATATTAAGCATGGAGGGAAAGTCTTCCCCTTCGCCATATGTTTCCTACATTTCTCTTGAAGCACAGAGCCATCTTGGTCTCTCTCTCTCTCTCTCTCTTTTTTTTTTTTCCCACATTTGCTGGAGATGCGATTACAAGAAATATTTCACTTTCACCCAGTTCTGTTCTAAGAAAAGCAATTGCACAAATACAAAAAAAAAAAAATTTAAAAAAAAACTGGCAACTGACCCTTGCCCCTAATGTCTGGGAAACAATGGGGCATGGAGACAAGGGGGCGGGGTTGGGATGCTAATGAAGGGGGCTCCCCACAGCCCTGTGGCTGTGCAGGACGGTTGTGGCCTGCTGGCAGTATCTTAGAAATTTTCAAGATGAACCGGAAACCCACCCCAGAATTCTTATCTGAAATCTGATTTTTACATGCAGGGAGTAATTCAAAACAGGATTTTAAACACTGCCCCCACTCCTCGTGCAGGCCAAGCTAGACCTGACCTCCTGGCTCTCAGCTGGAAACATCTGTTCTGTATTACACAGGTGGGGGCACGTGCCAGCAGAACCTGAGTTATTTCTGCTCTTGTGAACTAATGTGTTCCCCCCCCCCGGATGGGAGACACTTGGTTTGTACAGAGTGATCGAGGTAGAGATTTATTAATGCTGTTCATCACATGGCTGGGACACAGGAGGGAAGCTGTAGAATCATCCTGATAAGATACCTCTGGAGAGAAATGTTAGGGACTAGGAATAAAAGGAGACTTTGTCAACAGGATAAATGATCTCTGTCTCAATCTGGCAGCCCGTAGATGGTGGATGGTGACCTGGCAATGAAGAACAGACGAATAACAAAGGCATTCCCATGAAGAGGAGGAGCAAAGCAAGGATGCTTGCATGGCGAATATCTGATCACTACTTGGAGAGAAATGAAAGGCACGCATGTATGAAGGAAAAGTCAAGTTCGTCACCATTTGCAAATGATATGATTCATACTGGAGAAGTCCTAGCCAGTGGAATGAACAAATCGGGGAACTTAGTGCAGTGACTGGGCTCAGACATACATATATAAAACTTATAATCAGTGATGGCCAAATAGGAAGCAGAAAATAAAACAATTTATTCACCCAGCAGCAACAACAACAAAAAAGCCTAAGAACAGAATAGCTGGAATAGCCAAAACAATCCTGGAAAAGAAAAACAAATTCCATACCATGAAACTACAGAAATCAAGGTGAGGCGGTACTGGCATCAAGATAGGCATCTGTATCAGTGGTCTGAGCTGAGAATCCAGCATTAAAGCATTTATTGTCAACTGAATTTTTTTTTTTTTTGGCAGGGCACCAAGAGAACTCAAAGGGAGAAGAAACTGTTCAACAAATAGTGCTGAGACAACCTGGGTATCCATACGTGGAATGGTGAAATTGGGTCCTTATCACGCACCACATAGAGAAATTAACTCAGGGGTCAGCACTGTGGTACAGCAAGTAAGCTCTGCTTGGGACTCTGGCATCCCTTATTGGAGGGCCAATTTGAGTCCTGGGTGTTCTGATACTGCTCCAGTTTCCTGCTAAAATGCCTGGGAAGGCAATGGATGATGGCTCAAGTAATTGGGCCCCCGCCACCCAAGAATGGAAAATCAATCTCTCTCTCTCCCTCTCCCTTTCTCCCTCTCTCCCTCTCTCCCTCTCCCTCTCTCTCTCTTCCTCTCTTTCCGTTTCAAATAAATGAGTTTTAAAAAAAGGAACTTGCGCATGACTATTCATAATAGCTCGAAAGTGCAGCAGTGCAAACGTCATCAGCTGACAGAGTGAATAAACAAGATGTAATGTGTTAACAAAAAAGACTAGCATTGGTTGCAAAGAGATGTGAAATACTGACACATGCCACAGTATGGTTGAACCCTGGAAACATGCCAAGTGAGAGGAACCAGCCACCCGCGGCCATACATTGTATGATCCCATTTCATCTCAAGTATTCCTAACAGGTGGCTTCATATAGACTGAAAGTGAACTGGAGATGCCAAGGGCTGGGATGGTTGGGGGAAAATAGTAAATGCTAATGGGTACGGATTCCTTTTTTTTTTCTTTTTTTCTTTCTTATTTAAGATTTATTTATTTATTTGAAAGTCGGAGCTACATAGAGAGAGAAGGAGAGGCAGAGAGAGAGAGAGAGAGAGAGAGAGAAAGTCTTCTATCTACTGGTTCACTCTCCAGTTGGCTGCAATGGCCGGAGCTGCACCAATTCGAAGCCATAAGCTTCTTTCAAGTCTCCCACATGGGTGCAGGGGTCCAAGCACTTGGGCCATCTTCTACTGCTTCCTCAGGCCATAGCAAAGAGCTGGATAGGAAGTGGAGCAGCTGGGACTTGAACTGGCACCCTAGACAGTGGCTTTACCCACTATGCCACAGCATCAGCCCACATCTTTCTTATTTTTTTTTGAGTGGCAGAGAGCCCCCTCCAAATGCTGATTCACTCCCCAAATGTCCACAATGGCCCCAGACCAGGAGTGAATGTCAGGTGTGAAGCCATATGTCCCACGTGGGAGGCAGGGATCCAATGACCCAGCCTCTGCCTTAGCAGGAAGCTACAGTCAGGAACTGGAGCTGGGTTCAAACCCAGGAACTCCAATGTGGGATGCAGGCCACTTCACTGTTAGGCCAAACGCCATCCCTAGGTTTGGGATTTCTTTTGGGGGAGGTGCAAATGTTCTAAAGCTGATTGTAGGGTCTTGTGTTGTGATACGATGGGTTAAGCCGCCACCTGCAATGCTGGCATCCCATATGGGGAGTACCTATTCGAGTCCTAGCTGCTCCAGTTCTGATCCAGCTCTCTGCTAATGAGCCTGAGAAAGCAGCAGAGGATGGCCCAAGTGCTTGGACCCCTGCACCCACATAGGAGACCCAGATGTGGTTCTGGGCTCCTGACTTCAGCCTGGCCCAGCCCTGGCCCAGCCCTCACCATTGTGGCGATCTGGGAAGTATACCAGTAGATGGAAAAATCTCTCTCTCTCTGTCACCCTCTGTAACTCAGACTTTCAAATAAATAAACAAGTCTTTTAAAAACAAGTATATTGCAGGGCCGGTGCTGTGGTATAGTGGGTAAAGCCACCGCCTGCAGTGCTGGCATCCCATGTGGGTGCCAGTTCTAGTCCGGGCTGCTCCACTTCCGATCCAGCTCTCTGCTATGGCCTGGAAAAGCAGTAGAAGATGGCCCAAGTCCTTGGGGCCCTGAACCCATGTGGGAAACCCAGAAGAAGCTCCTGGCTTCAGATCAGCTCAGCTCTGGCTGTTGCGGCCATTTGGGGAGTGAAACAGCAGATGGAAGACCTCTCTAGCTCTACCTCTCTCTGTAACTCTGTCTTTCAAACAAATAGATCTTAAAAAAAAGAACTTTGTGTGTTTTGGGGCCGGCACTGTGGCATAGTGGGTAAAACCACTGCCTGCAGTGCCAGCATCCCGTATGGACAATGGTTCAAGCCCCAGCTGCTCTGCTATGGCCTGGGAAAGCAGTGGAAGATGGCCCATGTCCTTGGTTCCCCTGCACCCGTGTGGGAGACCCAGAAGAAACTCCTGGCTCCTGGCTTTGGATTGGCGCAGCTCCGACCATTGTGGCCAATTGGGGAGTGAACCAGCAGATGGAACACCTCTCTCTCTCTCTCTCTGCCTTTCCTTCTCTTTCTGTGCAACTCTTTAAAATAAATCAATAAATCTTGAAGAAAAAAAAAACTTAGTGTCTATAATCATGACCTAAATTGTCCTGTACTTTTCTTTTTCGGGTTTCAGTGTCAGCAGATACTAACCTCAGGATGAGCAAACAAGTGTTTTCTCTTTCTCAATACTATGAAAGGATTTATATAAAAGTCCCTTATTTCTTCCTTAAGTTCTTGAAAGAACTTCTCAGTAGTGCAAGGGAGCCTACAGTTTTTCTAGTGGTACTGAAATTTTTCACCACTTTCTTATGGTATAATTGACACGAAGTACACATACATAAACAGAATAATTTGCGCAGTTATGCTGTATTTTTAGACCCATGAAAATCCATCCCTACAATCACATGACGAGCACAGCTGTCACTCCCAGAATCCCCCTGTGCCGCCTTTCAGGCCTTTCCCTCGACCCCATGCCATCAATCAGCCAGTGATCCATCACAGAGATAATCTCCATGGTCCACAATCTTTTCTTGTAGATTGATTTTATTTATTTGAAAGGCAAAGTGAAACAGAGAGAGATGGCTGCTAAGGCCAGGGCTGGGCCAGGCCAAAGCCAGGAGTCTGGAATGCCATTTGGATCTCCCCCATGCCAAGAACTGAATCCAGGTCTCCCACAAGGGTGGCAGGGACCCGGCTCGTTGAGCCCTCACCTGCTGCCTCCCAGGGTGTGCTGGCGGGTTACGCTGCCCCCTGCAAAGCTGGCATCCCACACCGCAGCACCAGGAAGCTGGAACTGGGAGCAGAGTGGGATTGCTGAAACCCAGGCACTTTGATGTGGGATGTGACAGGCTTCCCAGCACCTGTTGATCACCGAGCCAAACTCCCACCCCATGGCTTTCTGATAATCCACAGCTCCCATCATACTTTACAGCTTAATAACATCATAGCTTTAACAGAGGTAAAGACAGGCTGGAAACCAAGTCAAACAGGTGCTTCAGTGACACAATGTAGCGGCAGATCCCACAGGGTAACTTCCAAGTCAGGACAGACTTCAGTAACATTTCCAGTTACCCCAGCGGCTCTACCGTGATAGAAAAGCACCTGTAATACAGGTGGACAAAATCACACGCACTGTTGATTTGGGTCCCGCGTCCATACTTCAAGAAAAGGCTAAATTTCAGCTGGAGGAGGCCGAAAACGCAGTTGTGTGCTTCTCCCCTTTGAGTTCAGGGAAAGCAAGCTGACAACGTGGTTGGAGCCTGATACCCACCAGGGGGCGCTGCCATGTTAGAAAGCGGCGTTCGCTGGCCAAGCCTCGAAACTCACATCTCTGGAACACGCCCCGCCTTCCACCGACGGCAGAAGCACAAGCCTGGGTACAATCGCCCGAAACCCACCCAGGCTCCTGCTGGGGGAGTCCCCACCTCACCGGCACTCAGCGGGCTGAACCCACAGAGAGCCAGCCTGAGCGAGCTCAGGGCTGCCAGGGCTCGGGCCCTAAGGACAATCAGGCCAGAAAAAACCTGCAAGAAACTCACAGGTTCTGCTTCTATGCGGACCTGGCCATGCTTCCTTCTCGGGCTGGTGGGCACCCGGAGCCCAGGGCCAGGCACAGCTCCTGATGGAATCTGAGGAGGGCTGCTGGCCTTCTGGGAAGTCCTCTCCTCTATGGGGGCCCCTTGGGGAGAGGACAAGGATCTGCAAGTCCCCTGCACCTCCAGTTGTGACCTGGCCGATGGTCAGCGCTGCCTGAGGCTGGCGGACTTCCTGCCTGCTCCCGCTCAGGATGAGAGCCGAGGCGACTTCCTCTGGGCGCAGGTGAACGGCACGCAGAGGAAGGGGCCAGCTTTACCGGTGCTGGAGAGGCAGCGTGGGAGAGTGGAGACGGAGGCCGACTCCAGGGCAGGTGTTCCAACTCCTGGCTAAGATGCTGGCATCCTACACTGCAGTACCTGGGTTTGAATCTGTTCTCCGGTTCCTGACTCCAGCATTCCTGCTAATGCAGACCCACCCCTCCCCCAAGGCAGCTGTGACAACCCTAGTAATCGGTTTTCTGGACTTTGAGCTGGTGGTGGTGAGGGGAAAATACCTTGATTGAATTCTCTTCTCAGCTGCTGGTTTCATCCCCTGCTGTTGAAGGCATTTGGGGAGTGAACTAGCGGGGTGGCTGCCTTTTAAATAAAATAACAATGAAAATTGTAAAGATACCGCCTCTGGTCTCGGGAGCCAGACTTTCTTCTGGGTCCAAATGCCGCTGGGGGACCTTGGGACGATACTTGACCTCTTCTTGCCTCAGTTTCTCCACTAATTAAGTGAGGGCGATGATGCCTTGGAGGGGACATCAGAAGCCCCGGAGCTGCAGAGCCCTGAGAGCAGGTGAGCACGTGGTAAGTGATCCGCAGACGCTGGCTGTTAGCGCAACCTGGAGACCCCTCTGGCCTACAGATTTCACGTGCTGTTCTGGCCACTGGAAGACGCCTCCCTGTTCTCTGCACCTGCCTACCACCTTGTCATCCTCCCCCCCCCCCCCGGCTTCAACTGCAGTGTTACTTCTCAGTGATGCCAGTCTCCGACACAGGTGGCAGAAACCCAAGTTGTTGAGCCATCACCTGTCACCTGCTGCCTCCTGAAGTGTGCATTAAGAAACTGGAATCAGAAGTGGAGTTGGCACTCACACCCCGGCACTCTGATATGGGATGCCGGCGTCCCAGGTGGCAGCCAAACCCACTGCACCACGACACTGGCTCCACCCACACTCTCCTTGAGGGGCACGCATACATCCGTGTCAAGCTCTCCTTAGTTGGGATTGCACCTTTGTTTGTGGTTTAAGGTATTGAGCATCCATCTTTCCCACTGGGCTACACAGCTGCCACTCCAAAAACCAGGGTTGGGTCTGCCCAGTTCCCACCATGCCCATCCTGTCTGGCATACCGGAGGCGCTCAATAAGTGTGCACTAGATAAACCACAGTACCATACAGCTGCAGGTGCATGGATGGGTGAGGACGCCATCCGGACTGACAGAAATACAGGGTCTCATGCTTCTGGCCCTCGCTCTGGCTGAGTCT